CGATCCTCCTGGCCTGGGCCGAACATTTTTGCTTGACACCTCGAAGTTGAACATCGGTCGATAATAGTTTGGCCAAGATGGTTTCTTTTTCTGCAGCTAGGCTGTCCATAGTTGCCTTCCATCGATCACACTCGGCCTTGATCTGATCGACTTCTCCCCGAAGCAACCCGATCTTCTCAACCTTTTGTTGCAGCTGAGATAACGAAGGGTTAGTTTCCACAGTTAGGTCGAATCCATACTCTAAAAGAATGATGCTCACCTGTTTATCCAGTTCGGCCTTTTCTTCACGAGCCTTGGCCAAATCTGCTTGGAGGTCCTTTACAACCTCTTCTTTTTGGCCACAAAGAAGCTTCAGAGCATCTCTCTCCCCCGAGACCTTTTGAAGCTCGGCCTCACACTGGCTGAGATCGGCTCAAAACTTGCTAAGGGCCTACACAAAAGGGAAAAAAACGCAAGTCAGGTTTAGAAAAGAACGAAGAAACCAAGCGCAGTAAAATCATTACTCGAGAAATGAAATGTTGGGCCTCTTCTAGGAGAATAGAAGCGTCATTAATATCGGAGGCATCATCGACTCCAGTAAAGCAATCCCGAAAAGGGTCCCCTACACTAGAGCCTCCACCCATATCGGGGGTCTTCAATTCTCGAGCTTCCCTTAACGCCTCCTCAGAAAAGGTCGGAAGAGAAGGCAAGTGGCCCACTGTCATGGTCCCGAGCAAATCGCTCGGGACGCGCTGATCGATCCTCGGGCTATCAGAACTGGCCCCGTTCGGTATAGCTGTCATCGGCTTGGAAGGTCTGACAACATCGAGTGCCAAAGCTTCTTCCTCTTCTTCTTCTTCTTTTTCTTCTTCTTCTTCTTCTTCATCTCTCAGTCTTTGGACCGAGTCCATCATAAGAGCGATTACCTTTTTCTTCACCCTTCGAGTTTTAGGTTTAGGGTCCTCGGACTGAGAGGCAGTTTTCCATTTTTTTTATCTTTCCCCAATTTCGGAACCAGGGACTTTGTTCCTTCCTTACCACTCGAAGGCCTCAAAACAGCATCCTTGGTTACACCTGCATAAAAGAAAGTCAATAACGAATGGAGCATAAAAAATATTTTGAAAAACATGAGAAGTGACCCTTACCCTGATTTTTGGCCTCCCACCTACCTTTTGCCAAATCACGCCAAGCGCGTTCGGCATAAGAGGAAGTCGAGGCTAACTTCCGAACCCAATCCTCGAGGTCGGGTACCGCTTGTGGCATCCAAAGGGCAGCTGTATATCGGAGGGAGATATCAGATAGAATCATAGAAAGATACGAAAAGCAACGCCTTACGAAAATCACTTACGGTCGAAATTTCATTCCTCAAGGAACAACATCTTCTCTTCCTAGATAAGGTCACAGGCCCTCACCCGAATGTAACGGCCCATCCAACCCCGATCCTTGTCTTTGTCAATGCTCGACATTACAGCTTTCGATGCCCGACGATGGAGCCTGATTAGTCCTCGAAAGATTTGAGGCCGATACAATCATATGAGGTGATTTAAGGTGAAATCCAGCTTCCCGGCCTTGTTGGAGAAGAAGCGAAGTAAGATTACTATGCGCCATAGAGAAGGATGTATTTGACCGAGGGTGACCTGATATCTTTTGCAAAAATCGATGATCACAGGATCGACGGGACCCAACGTGAAGGGGTATGTGTAAACACTCAAAAACCCTTCCACGTGAGTGATGATGCTTTCTTCGGGAAAAGGAATTTCCAGCACAACCTCAGGACCCCAGTTGCAGTCCTTCCTCACGACCTCGAGATGGCCCTCTGTTATCGAGCACATATACATCGACACATGCTCACATCGACCCGGAATCAACGAAGGATTCTCAACCTTAAAATCGGCCTTTAGATTATACGGGCCAGGAACATACTCATGGGGAAGCGGTTCCGCCGGCGCCTTGTCGCCGGACGGCCGGGAAGAGGAAGCTTTCTCCTTCCGCGGTATGGTTTTTGAAGTTTTTTGCATAAGGTATAAGTAAAAGAAAAGCAAAGGAAGATAAAAGGATTATGGTGTCAAACGCTGATGGAGGTGGCTCTACCAACGGCGAAATGGAGGCGGAAAGAGTAAGAAAATTTGGGGGTTTTTTTATTAGGGTAATAGATTAAGTTTAATTTAGGACGGGCTATTTATGGGCTAAACAGATGCGGTTCATTCTCACATAATGGCCGACATCGACTGACACGCATTAAACGCCTCGGTAAGCTGAACCGACGGGACAACTACCTCGTACGTCATGGTCGGACTCAATACTAATGTCAATATATGTATAATCATACCGTGGGAAATCATGTTGTTTCTCGTCACATTCTCTCCAAGAAATGAGGGGACTATTTGTATGCGGTCGAAACCTATTAAGTCAGTCGTACGGACTGGTCGAGATAATAATACTTCGATCGAAAGGTATCTACGTAAGGTCAGGTCGAGGTCCGAAGAAAGGGCTTCAGGATTCGAGCTCCAAGTTCGATCATGGATCAGTTCGGTATCATTATCGGGGCCATAATCAAATCGAACCACGAGGCAAAAGGTTGTCGGAGATGCACAGACGGCCAACACCCACCCCGAATATCAAGACTCCGAGTCAGGATCGAGCTCGAGTCAAGGCCAATGGCTCGACCCGATATCGAGTTCGAGTCAGTATCGAAGCTCACAGACAAAGCCGTTACAGCCGCACTAAGGGAGAAAATCCTGGCGGGAAGTAGGGAAAAGACAATACATCATGGGCTCTCCCCTACGTATTTTTTATTGTATATAAAGTATTATCCCTCTACTATAAGGATGGGATGGATGGTAAGCAGAGCCATATAGGGTAACAAAAGATTCCTTCTCATATTGAAAGATATCCCCTTGTGTTTATTTCACTTTATCTTATTTATTCTTCTTGATCACTATTCTCATTCTCATAGTCAAAAATACGCGTATTTCTATTTTTCTATACGATTTGTATCAAATTATATCACATATCTTTAGAACCATACACAAATTTAACTCTATCCAATTTTTCGAGTAAACAACACATGAATTTATTTAGATGTATACACAATCAGATTCATGTGATCCTATGAAAGTTTAATTCAGGGGCGGCTTAAGAAGAGTAAAGATCAAAAGCCAAATTTTTTAAGCCATAAACTTATTCGATAAAATTAATATGTCCTTTTGTTTATAGTTAATTCGTTTAGCTTTTTGAGGGGCAAAATAAAATTGTGATAGGTTGTACGTATTTACAGTTTATATGAATTTTTATTTGCACTTTAGTTTTATAGATTATTCAAGCAAAACTGAAAAATAAAATTATCTTAAACCCCCTCCAAGAAAAAAAAAAAAGAATCTACGTGGAGGAGGAGAAATTAAAAAGCAAAATAAATTAGTGAAAGACAAAAACTTAATTACTATAATTTGCTCAGTCATTTGAACTGCCTCAATCAATTTTTTTTTTAAAAAAAGTAAATTTGAGACATATTGTATATGTTATACATATAATTATACCTAATTATAGTGGGGAAAATTTTGAGAAAAAAAGGGAGCCTTTCAGGCTTTACCCTCAAGCCGCCTCTTTAATTTCATAATACAATCAATTCAAGTTTGCCATTGAGAGTTATAATATAGTTTCCTCTATAAAAAAAAAGCTACGATAAGACAAAATCATTTAAGACATGGCCTTAACCAGAACTTTTTTCACTTTTAACCCGTCCCAGAAATTATTTATATTCTATAGCTGAAAAAGTATATAAAATAATTTTTGTATATATATATATNCCAGCCCCTTTATAATATTAGTTAAAACAGCATCTTGGAGCATTCAATGTTTTTCTATATATGTATTCCGATTTTATAATCAATAAAAGTATAAAAGATAGTATTAATATTACTGTGAATATTTTCTCGTGTATGATGGTTGTGAATCTCTATGTACTATAATATTAAAATCAGAAGACCAATTAATGCTAATAAAATTTCCTGATTTTCGGACCCCTTGTAAGTCATTTTGCATCTTCTATTTCATATTCAGTAGTGAATTACATATTTCAGGTAACGTGGCAAGTTAGTCTTGTTTATTTTAAAGTTTTCCACAAGTCTCCTTCTCCCAATATAAGATTATAATCCCTCAATCTAGATAATGGATTTCTATTCTTAAAGAAATTCTTGTGACACCTACCACCAGCAAATACAATTAATGGATTTATTGAATTAAGATTTTTGTAAGTTCTATACTATTCTACTTAAATTTATTTACAACTGAACATAAAACAATTATAGAGGAGGAAATTTGAGTAGTTCCGTTGATTAGTTATCTAAACTTTCATATTGTTGGTGAATATTCAATTCGCGATCCTATAATTTCCTCCCCATTTTTCTTTCCACTATGTTCCCTTAATATGATGGTGGAACCCTTTTTGGAAGAAGGATAGTTATATAGAAGCGGGAAGTCCCTATTCACGATGATTTTATCAAACCTATCCAAATATCAGAAGTTAAGTCAAAAATTTCGCTAAAAATATTTAAGGGTGTTAAAAATTTAATGTATACATAAGAAAAAATACCTAACCTATATACATAATATATATATTATTCTGTCATAAAAAGGTTCAACTGACCATTCGTCACCTATAGCTATAGCTCTACCCCTGCTTCATATTTGACCGAATTGATTATAGTTTTAAGTAAATTTACTTTCATTAGAAGTCCAAAATTATCCAAGTGGTTATGGTACCAGTAACTAGCTAGGTCATAGACATTTCTTTTTCTTTTAAGTCTCTGCTTAATATGCTAAAGATGAAAGTTGAAAAAGGAACGACAAGTTATATATTTGGTTTCAGCCAAAAATAATTACATCTGCAAGTAAAATATATAAAAAATATGAACAAATTATATATATTATATATTAATATAAATATGCATTTTGTCAACTATTAATTTTTCCAAATTTAACAAAAAAGAAGAGACCAATAATAGTAACATAATCTACAAACGAAGAGACAAGACTCAAATTTCAATTGTAGGAACAAATTTACATTGCTGCAATTACAGTTTTAATCATCAACAAGAGGATTCCACAAATCAATTTCACTCAAATCAATTTCCTCACTCTCATATATCACATTATTACTTATTCATTGAGAAGTAAATTATTGACTTACAACAAAAAGATGGCTATTTTTGTAAATAGTTATCTCAGATATTATTTTCTCTGTCAAAGACAGAAATACTAAGATCATCCAATTCGCTAAATTCACCTAACAAAAATCCATAATTATCAACAACTGGAACCCCTAATTTCACAGAAATATAAACTTCTTTATTATCTGAAATTTGGATCCATTGCCCCATCAACATTTCTTCATCATTTTCTTGCCCAATTTCTTGTTCTTCCCCTACACTAGAATTATTGCCTTTTCCCTCGATCCCATTTGATGAATCTGAAGTCTGAGTCTCAATTTCAGATTTTTCAAAAGTGTCCATTTTTGCATTTTTAGCCTCCTTCATTTTTTCCTCAAACTCAAGTTTCTTAGACTGGTAAACTTGAATAGCCTCTTCAGCAGTAATAAAAGTACCCAACCAAATTCTTTTCTTGTTAAATGGGTTTCTAATCTCAGCACAATACTTTCCCGATTTTCTTTTTCGAACCCCAGATGGCAATTTGCTAGAAAAAGTTGTAGTCTTTACCTTACCTTGAATAATTTCATGAACAGTCAGCTTTGGCTTCTTTTTTGATGGTCTCTTTTCGTGTTCCTTTTCTTCTGAAGATGATGATTCTGTAGCATCTGGGTCTGAAATTTTTATTTTTATTTTTCTTTGGATTTTGATTGATTGTTCTTGTTGTTGTTTTTCATTCTTTACTTCGGCAAATTTGGTTTGCGATTTCATGATCAGAAGGTGAAAAGACAAGAAAGAATTAGGCAAGAACAGAGATGAGAAGACAACATAGGTGTTGAGATATAAAAGTATCGAAGGAATAATCATGTTTGCAAGAAAGACAAAATATTTATAGGAGACTTATAAGTCCACAAAATAAGGAAAAGGAAAAGAATATTTTTGTATGCGTGAAGTCCGCTTTGATACTCCGAATAATTAAGATTAAGATTCACGTTTTATAAGGTCTATTAAAGCAAAAATGCTTTTTAGCAGAACTTTTTTTATTCCGAAACTCAAATATTAAAGATAAAGAGATTTTATTCAGGACACTATGATCTTTAACAATAAAGGAAAAAGCTTTACAAGTTAAGGCAGGAAGTTTCATATTTTCTTTCATAAGAAGACTTGTAAGTCCACGGTAAACAAAAAATGATTTAGGGTTTGTAAAGAAAAAATAATTATACTAAATTGCACTAAGCTTTACCAAAGTAACAAAGTGATATGGTCCTCTAACCCTTTATTTTCTTGTTTCACGTTTGGTGTCTCCGATAGCCTTATTGAAATGCCGACTAATTTAGATTTGCATTAATAAAGCCTAATAAAAGGTAAAGTGCTCCTTAGCATTGACGATATGGATTTGGTCGAATCCAGTCACTTCAGTCTCAATCTTGTAATATTTTAAGAAAATTACTCAATATGTCACAAATTATTAATTTACAGTCCAGTAATTTAAAACTGGTAGAATTTCGAACCCATAAACTTTAAGTTCTAACTCCGCCTCTGACTTTGTTTAATATAACTGGTTTTTAATAACCACGATGCCCAAATTAATACGTACATATCTCGATTATTTTGTAGATACTTGTTATTTTTTATTCGAATAATTTTACTCACCAAATTTTAGATACATGCAAAGAAATTATCTAACCTTTTTGTGTATGCGAGAATCTGAAGTTGCAATTGTTAGAGTTATCCAAATTCTTTCTAGAGTATGAATTTTCTCTCTCAAAAGTAAAAATCATGAACAATTGCTATTGCCATATTAATACAAACTAGTTTAGCCCTGGCTTTGCTCGGGCCCAACATGGACAATGTTATACTTTTTTGTTATATATTATGGGGACTTTTGCATTTATACCCGGTTTTGGAGTCATAATTGAACCTAATTTGCAAGCCTACCCACTTTACAATCAACTTCAGATCTATCGGGTTTGAAGTTAAAAAAATTATTCTGAATTAAAAAAAAATTACACTTCAGATGCACTTAAGGCCAAATATGTCTGAAGTGCAGCCAATGGTTTCATGCACTTAAGGCCAATAAGTCTGAAGTGAGAAATTACACTTCAAATGTACCTAAGGCCAAAAGGTCTGAAGTTCAACAAACGTTTTCCTACACTTAAGGCCAATAAGTATGTAGTAAAAAAATTGCACTTCAGATGTACATAAGGCCAAATAGGTCTGAAGTGTAACCAATTATTTTATGCACCTAAGGCCAATAAGTCTGAAGTAAAAAATTACACTTCAGATGCACATAAGACCAAAAGGTCTGAAGTGCAACAAATATCTTCCTACACTTAAGGCCAATAAGTCTGAAGTGAAAAATTACACTTCAGATGCACTTAAGGCCAAAAGGTCTGAAGTGCAACCAACGTTTTCATACACTTAAGACCAAATATACCTGAAGTGTAAATTGCCTAGAAACAAAAAATTATTTTTTGAATTATAACAATCCAATATTTGATTAATACCTAAATATACTCTAAATGAGCTTAAAATTGAAACATAATCTCTAAATATCATCAAGAACAAACCTCAATTATCAATATGTCAAAACAACAATAAATCTAACGAACACATTTTGCAATTAAGAAAAAGAAGAAGGAGAAACCCTAAGCAATAGTAAAAAATAAAGCACCATAACAACTCACCACTGTAAAATATTATAAACTACCTTAATATTGTTGGAGTATATATCGCAACAAAAATAATTTTAGTATCATATTCACGTGTAAATTAAACAATTAGCATACATGGAGATTATACGAGTTACCTCTTGAAGCGTGAACAAATCTCTTCTATCACGTGAACTTTCAGTTCCATAACGTCTCAATGGAATCTCCACCACCCACACAATCATGATCCTCAAACATTTCACGGTCTTCTAATGTGTTACCCAAATAATATCCGAAAATAGCAATTTTGTGTGGGCGAAATTTTCTAGGAAAATAAACTGAAGATTTCGGCCACCTTATTCTTCCATCTAGATGGAAAACCTTATTTATTTATAGCACAAGTTTTAAGGGTTAAAACCCCTTTTTTAAAACCTGTTGGGTTTTCCTTTCCACCAAGAAATGATTCCTTTATTTTCTATTATATTTAGGCACAGCAGGGCCCACAAAATTTAATTAACAAGACTTCCAATTATAGAATTAATTTATAATTTTTGAAATTAATTGTCACGCCCCGAACCTAGGAGCGAGACAAGCACCCCGTGCCTCACCTAACCTGGCGTA